GGCTTCTTACTGGTTTACCTCTAGAAACAACTTCCAGTGGTGGTAATGGAATCTGAGCATTAAAAAAATGTATTTGGGAACTTGAAATATGGATTGCTAGTAAGAGAAACTATTAGTAAGAAAGGCTGTAAGTTAAAGAAAAAGCCATTTCTTTACCATTACCATGCCCAGACTGTTTTCTTAGTAATCTGTAATACATATAATGAAGCTTTTCCTAAATAGGCACAGTGTGGAAATATCTGGCTTTTCAATAGTAGAAATGGACCCACACTTTTATATTCATTAATATTTCTTCTGTGTAACTATTTAAATCCATGTTTTTGCTGTCTCCTTTTTTTGTTTTTCCCTCCTCCCTCCTTCCTCTCCTTCACTTTCTTCTTAGACAGATTTGCTATGTTGCCAAGGCTGTCCTGAAACCCCTTGGCTCAAGTGGTTCTCCTCCTTCAGCTTCCTCAACATCCTGAATACCTGGGAATATAGGTATGTACCACTGTACCTGGAGTTTTCACCTTCAAATTCAAATGATGGTAATTAGGACACTCAGAGTCAGTGTCCCATGATGGAAAGCAGGTTAAATAATCTCTCCAATAAAAAAATCTACTACCATATACCCATATAAACATGCACACTTGGAAAAAGTGATAGGATTTATGGTAAATAAGTATTACCTATATTTATTTTTTTTTTGGTCGTGGGATTAGAACTCTGGGCCTGGGTGCTGTCCCCTGAGCTCTTCAGCTCAAGGCTAGTACTCTACCACTTTGAGCCATAGCACCACATGGAGATAAGAATCTCATGGACGGGGCTGGGAAGGTGGCTCAGTGGTAGAGCGCTTGCCTTGCATGCATGAGGCCCTGGGTTCGATTCTCCCCAGCACCACATAAGCAAAAAGGAAAAAAGCTGGAAGTGGCACTGTGGCTCAAGTGGTAGAGCGCTGGCCTTGAGCTGAAGAGCTAAGGGACAGTACCCAGGCCCAGGCCCAGAGTTCAGGCCCACCACTGGACCCAAAAAAAAAAAAAAAAAGAATCTCATGGACTTCCTTCTGGGGCTGGCTTTTTGAATCTTGATTCAAAGATCTCAGCCTCCTGAGTACCTAGGATTATAGTGTGAGCCACCAGCATCCGGCAGTTCTCTATATTGACACATAAAATACCATAAGACAAAAATGTATGGAATGTTTTATAAATTATAAACATAGACCTGATAATCTAATACAAAATAAGCCACCTATGTTTAATATTGCATTCAATAAACACTTTGCTTTGTGGCTTGGGATTTGATGTCTGTATCTGTATCCATTGAGCTTTCAGATTATGAGAGCATTTAGTTTTTCCTAAGGACTATCTAGTGTATTAGATAAACTTTAACTCAAGAACAACATGTATATTTTGAACAGTTTTAAAGGCTTTAGAATTTTATGTATTTATCTCTGTGATGCCAGCGATTGAAATCAGGGCCTTGCATATGTTAGACAAGTACTCTTGCCACTAAATTTCTAGCATTTTCTTTTTTTAAGAAACAGAGTGTAGTTATATTGCCTGGCTGGCCCCAAATGCTTGAGCTCAAGCAATTCTTCTGTCTTAGCTTCTCAAGTAGATGGGAGTGCTTCCAGGCATAACCCATACATTGGCTTCAGCTCAGGAACAATATTTCATTTTACATAAGAAGTGCATAATCCAACAAAGGGAAAGTTGCTAAAATAACCTATATTAAGCCAGAAAAAATTATCTGTAGAATAATAATATATTCCTATAATTTTTTTTTGAAGAAAGCTGCTGGGTGCTGGTGCTTCATGCCTGTAATTCTAGCTATTCAGGAGGCTGAGATCTGAGGCTTATGGTGTGAAGCCAGTATGTCTAAGAAAGTCCATGAGATTTTTTCCAATTAACCACCAAAAAATGCTGGAAGTGGAGCTGTGGTAGGGACCTAGCCTTGAGCAAAAAGCTCAGTGACAGTGCCCAGGCCCTAAGTTCAAGCCCGTGGACTAGCACATGCACCCACGCACGTGTGCGTGCATGCACACAAATTCAAAATTAGAAATTTTAATACTTTCCCCTGTTGATTAGAGTGTGCCTTAGTATCATAATTTCTGTTACAAATAGGTTTCAGAATACTTTTTCTTTTGGTAGTACTGGGGATTTGAATTCAGAGTCTCTGTTTGCTAAAGAGACACTTTATTAACCACTTTCTTATTTCTTTTTAAATATGGTATCATGGTTATTACATGTTCCAGCTTGGAACTGATTCTTCCTATTTATGCTTCCCTGCTAGCTGGGATGACAGGCATTTCCCATTCTCCTAAACCCAATTCAGGCTGGAAAGCTCCAGGTCTCCCAAGCTTGGTAATCAGAATTACTGAACCATTCCGATTGGCTTCTTTTATGACCAGCCTGTAGATATAAGTTTTTTGGTAGGGAAAGCATTTGTAATGTTGGACATTCTTGTTATCAACAATGCAGTGCTGTTGTACATTTAAATAACATTGTTCTAGAACACTGACTGTTTCAGAATATTCTGTGAAGATCAGAGAATGAATTTCATTGCATATTTGGTAAAAATCAAATGATACAGTTTGGTATTTTTGAAAGTTTTCAACAGGGGCCTATAACAAACTTCAAAATCACAAGATAGGTTATGTGAGTTCAAAGAAATTTTTTAATATTATTTTTAACCACAACTGTAGTAAATTGACTTTAAAACTGATTATAAAAGGATTTAGTTTTATATGTGATCAGGTGAACTATTCAGATTAGGCCCCAATGAGGCTCATTTAGGCTCACTAGTTTTAATTTGGATGAAAGGGCTATATTCCTCTGGAATTTTGCTTGAAAAACATCATTTAAATGTTGGACTGAGAAATCACAGTGAATTTTGCAGTAGGAAAAATGCTCAGTTTATTTCTAATGGAAATCCCCAAGTGCCACACCACATCAATCATCTGACATATAATCTGACTTCCACTTGGTTGGAATGGACTTTAAAGGTCAGGACTTTGGATGAAGAATTTTAATTTAGTAGGTTATGCAGTGGAATTGACTAAATTGGGAGTACTGTTCTCACATTGGTGAAATAGCTTCTCCTGAAAACAAAAAACTACAACATAAAACAAAAACAAGCAAATCAAACAATATGGAGGATGGGATGGGGGGGGGGTAATGACAGATTTTAAGTTCACTCTTTTGCTTAAGCACATTTTCTAATGTTTCTGACTGTATGTCATTAAAAAGTGGGAAAAGAAATAGAGGATGTTGGATTGGGGGGCGGGGGGGGGGGGGGAGGATGGGAAGGGATGGGAAAGGGAAACAAAGGAGACTACAATGCTTGATAAGAAATGTACTCATTACCTTGCCCATGTAATTGTAACCCCTCTGTACAGTATTTTCACAATTAAAAAAAAAAGAAATAGAGGATGTTGGGAAAGAGCTCAGTGGTAGAGCGCTTGCCTTGCATGCATGAGGCCCTGGGTCCGATTCCTCAGCACCACATAAGCAGAAAAAAACCGGAAGTGGTGCTGTGGCTCAAGTGGTAGGGCGCTAGCCTTGAGCTGGAGAGCTGAGGGACAGCGCCTAGGCCTAGAGTTCAAGCCCCAGGACCGACACACACACACACACACACACACACACACACACACACACACACACAAAGAAATGGAGGAAAAAAAACCCCATAGTTATCTGCTTTCATAAAAGTTTCATACTAGAGACTTGCAGACATCATTAAACTTACACCAAAAAAAAAAAAAAAATTAGGAAATGTAACTATCAGGAAAACAAGAGACCCGAGTCGTATTGTCTTGAGGAAACTGGAACCTCTAGACATAGTGGGTACGCTTTCTATGTACAAAAGTAGGCCAGAGCTGAGAATCTTTGCGACTTGCCACTCCCGGCTACAATTCCACCCCTATGCAACGCTGCCGCAGGCAGACATCTGCAGCTGTCCACACCGATGCCACTGTGTCTTCCTTGCTTCTTTTGAAATCTTTTAGTGAGGTGTAGAAAGGACACCAGTAGTCACACTTGCTTCAATCTTATTATTACTATTCCCCCCCCCCCCCACGTCCAAATACATGACACTAAATCGAAGGGGGGGGGGGGGAGGGTCCCAGGCCACCACCAGGCAGCTGGCCTGACTTGGGGCGCCTCCGTGGCGCCTCGCCAGCTGAAGGTGATGAGTGGTGTGTAGAGCTGGGGGATACCTGTTCTGAGGACAGCCTGCCTGCACAGGACACCTGGCCACCTTCAAAGTGACTCGGGAGCGGCAGCGGTCTGCCCCGCGCCGGCGGGAGCCGCCGACCGTCGCTGGGATCCCGGAGGTGCGCGGCGCTCCCCCGTCCCGCGTGGGGGGCGCGCCGGGCCAGGACCCCCAGGCCCGGGAGGCAAAAGGCCGCGAACACTGGCTGGGCGGTGAGCACAGAAGTTCCCCAGAGGGAGTAAAGTTGTCGGCGGCGCTTGAAGTCCCCCGTGTCCCGGTGACACACCGACTCCGGGCCACGAAGACAGACCCGAGGGCAGGGGCGGTGCACACACCGGCCCGTCCCCCCGCCAGCCGGCGCAGACCCGGCCACACCCCTCCCCGGGACGGCTCCCGACCGGGGTCCCAGCGCTCACCCCCCCCCCCCCCAGCCCCCACAATCACGTCTCCCCGCTGCTCCTCCACGTGACAAGAGCCGGAACCGTCACTTCCGGCGGTGCGGACAGCGCGCGTGCGCGGGGCGCGAGGAGCCGTTGGCACCAGCTCCGAGCCTCCCACGGCGGAGAGCGGCGGGCAGCGGCGAGTCGAGCTGGAGCCGGGGTGGGGGGGGAGGGGGACCGAGGTCCCAAGGGCGGAAGCCCGAGAGTCCGGCCGTCCGCTGGGAGCGCGGCTGGCCCCGCCCCGCAGCCACCTCCCGCTCCCGCTCGCTCCTCCGGGTCGCGCCCCCACCCCCCGCGCCCGGGCCCGCCCCCTCGCGCCCCGCCCCGCCCCGTCCCCGCCCCTCCCCGACGCCCTCTGCGGGATTCCCGCAGCTGCAGCGGGGCCGGCGGAGCGGGCGGCGGGTCCGGGGCTGTGGGCTGAGGCGCGCGGAATGTGAGGCGGGGCGGGCCGCAGCGCGCGCGCGCGGACGCTCGGACCCGGCCCCGGCCGACGACCCCCTCGCGGACGCCGGGCCGCGCGCCCGGCCCGGGGGACTCGCCCTCCCCGCTCGCCCTCCCCGCTCGCCCTTGGGAGCCTCCCCGGTGCCCCGCGGCGCGCCGGCGGGACCATGAAGAAGTTCTCGCGGATGCCCAAGTCGGAGGGCAGCGGCGGCGGCGGCGGCGGCGGGGCCGGTGGCGGGGCCGCCGGGGCGGGGGCCGGCGGCGGCGGCGGCGGCTCGGGCGGCTCCTCCGTGGGGGTCCGCGTGTTCGCCGTCGGCCGCTACCAGGTCACCCTGGAGGAGTCGCTGGCCGAAGGTACGGGGCGGCCCGGGAGGCTGGGGCTGCCAGGTGAGGGAGGGCGCTGGGGTGTGGCCGTGGCGTTTCCGCGGGTCGTTCCTCGGAGTCGACCCCACTCTTCCCCCGGTGGGGCCGGGACCGAGGCGTCTCCGGGCCGTCCGCCCTCCCCGGGAGCTTCGATCAAATAAACCCGAAGACGTCCTCGGGGCGAGCCGATGCGTGGTGTCGCGCTCGGAGCGGTGACTCAGGAGAGGGTCAGAGCCGGAGCCGGATGGAGGCTCCGCGGTGCCAGCCGCGACTCAGGCGGGTGTCAGGCGACGCCGGGCGCCGGATCCCACCGCCCTCGGCGGGGAGCCGGGGTTTGCTTTGGCGGAGGGAGCTCACCCCGTAGATGATAGGTTTACGATCGCGCGCTCTCACTCTAGTTTATTAGCATGGGCATACACACACCAACACAGCGTGTGTGTCTGTGTGTTGATCCTGGCGCCCCGAATTCAGCCGGTGTGGACTTGGGAGGAGCGCGAACCCTTGAAGCCCGCTTGTGTCTGTTACTCCCGAGTCTCACCCGCGGGACCAGATACTGTTCTTGTCCGACCGTACTTTTAAAAGGTGAGGTGAAGCTGGTTAACGTGCCTCTCTAGGCTCCACTCGTGTTGGATCTCTCATTGTCCGAAACAGGTAGGAAGACGTCTAGTAGCCAGACAAAAAAAAAAGTTTACTCAGCATTTGACAGAACCAGATCTCTAGACTGAATTTCAGTTTTTATATTCTTAGTAAAACTGGCTGGTGGAAAAATACCTTTTTTTTTTTTTTTTTTACTTGCAACTGATATGATGACATCCGTATTATTTATTACAAACTAAGAATTCATGACTTTTTTTTTTTTTTGGTAAATGGTAATCCTAAGTTCTAACATTACTAGAAAAGAAATCCAAGAGTGAAGTTTTTGGTTTGCCAAGTTAGGAAAGTTAGTGATATGGTTTGAAAGCAGAAGACTGAGATTCTGCTTGCGCTTTTCGGAATGACAGTAACAATAGTAAATTAATGCAAGGAAACCCTGAATTTTCTGTATGAAATAAAGAGAAAGAAATCTTGAATTATCTGGGGGTCGATGTCCTTGTTTTTGTAAACTACTTTCCAGCTTAATGAACCTTGCTGTGTGTTGGAGATGTGGAGGGGAGTACCTTAATTTTCAAAAGACTGAATTATGGTGATTAGTTTTGATAGATTTACTGTGCTGATGAATTTGTTACAGGCGATTTATTATTTCAGGTGTTGGGTTAGATTGGGTTGTAGACTTCAATCACACATGGATATTAACTCACAGATTATACCTCTGCCTTTGAGTTGTGTTAGTATTTAATTGAAATGTACCTTGAGCAAGTTATTTTGTTATTGTAAATTAAATCTAGTTTATAAAGTAGATTTTGAATTTGTAACTTTCATCAGGGCCCAAAGCATATCTTACTTATAAAAAGCATATTTTACTCATGAAAAATAATTTTGAAGTGTGAAAATAAAATTGAATTTCAAAGTGACAGCCTTCATTCAAGCATAAAAACAAATACCTCTTTAAGTACTGATGTTACTATTTCAATTTCCCATTGGCTTTTACCAGAAGTTTGTCACTTGTTTTGAAAAATGAGTCAAGTGCTAAGAGGAAACAAAGGTTGAAGAAACTCTTGGAAGATGGAGCTTCCTGATCTTACATTCCAGCTCTTGGGACCAGGCTTTATTCCTTCCTAGAGGACAAGGCCTACCTACACTTGTGTGTTGATTTTCTCTCTAATACATGCAACTGACATTTAAATGTCTGTCTGTGTATCTTTCTGTCTGTCTGTGTCAGTCCTGAGTCTTGAACTCAAGGCCTGGGTCCTGTCTTTGCCTGAGTGTTGTTTCTTTCTTTTTCTTTTTTCTTTCTTTTTTTTGGTGGTGGAGTGGGGGGCTGAACTCAGGTCCAGGATACTGTCCCTGAACTCTTTAACTCAAGGCCAGTCACTTTGAGCCACAGGGCCACTTCTGGTTTTCTGGTGGTTAATTGGGAGATAATAGTCTCATGGACATTTCTGCTGGGACTGGCTTGGAAATGCCATCTCCAGATCTCAGTCTCCTGAGTAGTTACGATTGTGAGCCTGAGCCAGCCACCAGTATCCAGCTGCCTGAGCTTTTTTATTTTTTATTTTATTGTTAAGATGTTGTACAGAGGGGTTACAGTTACATGAGTAAGGCAATGAGAACATTACTTGTTGATCATTGTTACCCCTTCCCTTCCTTGTTGTCCCACTGTCCCACTTCCCCAGCTCCCACACTCCAATCCCCCTAACCCTAACCCCACCGTCCCCCCCCCCCCCCTGCTTTTTTGCTCAAGGATAGTGCTCTATCACTTTGAGCCACAGCTCCATTACCAGCTTTTTGGTAGTTCTTTGGAAATTAGGCTTTCCTGCCCTGGGGTGGCTTTTGAGATCCTCAGATTTCAGCCTCTTGAGTAGCTAGGATTACAGGTATGAACCACTAGTGCCCAGCTCAATTCGCTTTTTTTTTGATCTTGATGTTTTTTTTTATTCTTATTTCAGATGCTGACTGTCTTTCTTCCTTTCCAAATAAGTAATGTTGTAAGTTAAACAAGATGTTTAAGCACATGTTTGTCTATTATTGAAGTGAGTTCTTGTAAAAAAGCGTAAGAACCATTTTAATCAGAGAAAGCTATACTACTGAATGAAGAAAAAAATAATTAGAAGCTACCATAGACCAAAAACAAATGGTAAATTTTACAGTTTTGCTTTGGATCAATGTTTAAGCCACACCAGGATCTTCTAGATGCCATGTCTTGAGCAGTTATTGTTATGTTGCTATAAACATAGGAAACTTACTTAGCGTGACCTCTTCACTGTCTTTTCAGTAAAACAGTCCATGTCTGTCTTTGTCTCTTTCTTTGTCTCTTATGTCCCAGTAGTTACTGTGAACACTGACTGAATTAGCAAATACTAAATCATTGCTTCTAGGGGAAGTAACAGAATTAGGTTCCTGGAAGACTTTGTTTACAACATTTTTTGTCAACTCAGTATTCAACATTGTTTTATGTGTGTTTGTGTTTAAAGACATTGTACTTACTGTATTTTATTTAATATATTTTAACTCACCCTAAGTGAAGATTATCAAGTACATATATTTTCTTGCTAAGGAATGTCACATGCTTCTTTACTTAGAAATACTAGGCAGAACTTATGCATTATTGCCAAGGTCCATTTTAAACAGTGAAATCACCAATTAGAAGCAAAAAAGTGAGAGAAACATGGCCAATGCACCAAACTGACCATGAAAAGGCCACTTTTTCAAGAGTGTGATAACAGGGTATGAGTCAAGTGACTTAAGTTTTTTTTTTTAACCAGTGTATACATGTCTATAAAAATAATCAGGAAACTGCCACAAATTTGAGGGATTAAACTTTAGGAAATAGGTGAATTGACAAATATGGTATCCCCAAATAAAGATCACCTATCATCATATGGATATAGGTGTATAGATGTACTATTTAAAAATCTGTAATTGAGAAAACATTTCAGGGGTCTATTTAGATGACTGAATTCCTGGGGTATTTCTCTGAAACAAATATTTTGTATTATACTATCTTTCTAGTCAAGCGCTTACACTGTATGTTTGACAATGTTGACACCTGGTATTTTTTTAGTTTCTGCTCAAAGTTTAGAGGACTGATATCATAGGCACTTGTATTTTCTCAAAAATGGTTCAGTTTTAGGAGTCTCTACAACCCCCAGTTTTGGGCTTCAGAAAGATAGAATTATGTCAGTTTTAGCTTGAAACTATGTTACACTGTCAAGCATATGTAACTCAATGTAACCTTCATGTTTTATTAAAACATAGGGTAGTGTCATGCAGGTTTTCAAAACAAAGCCATGGTTGCTAGTTTGAGGGATTTAATAGAAATTGGTAGTACAAAGTGATTGTTGAGTGGGGGACTTTTCCCCCCCTAAATGTTCATGGCAGAAAATGGACTTAAATAAAAGGAATGTCAGACTGGGAGATCTGTGCTAATGTGTTGAAATAATCTAATCATGAGACCGTAAGGCTGGATAGGAGTTGGATTATGAATATGATGAGATGGGTAAAATTTAACTGATAAAATGTGGGTTATTGACCTGTTAGTAATTTGAGGCAGGAATTTACTAGAGTTCTGTAAAAGTAGCTGTAGTTCTTTCAGAGTTAGTTGTTTAAATTGAATCCATATAGACTGCATATAAACCATTTCTCATTGTTAATTTTTCAGGAAGGTAGTAAGATATGTAACATATGATTTTGCAATGGAAATCAGTTGGGAAATGTTCGATTTAAGTATGATTTTTCATTTGCAGAAATTATCTGTGGCTACTGAAGAACTTCTAAGTTAATGTTTCTAAGAGAAAGAAAAAAAGGAGTGTAACAAAAGTATCACCAATTGATATTTATTAAATATCTCTTTATGTTTCAGGTAGCACTTGTGCTACTTGTATAGTGTAGCATTTCTTTGGCCTTAAGGAGAGAGCAAATATTAAACAGACAAGAATAATTAATTAACATGGTTACTTAGCTCAAGATTTTGTGAGAGAATAACAGAGTTTGAAATAGAGGACCAAGGAAAGCCTTTTGAAATTTTAGCAGACACCTGAAGGACGGGAAAAGTTAGGTGAAAGCTGAGATTTGAAGGCAGAATGCTTTGGAGCAGGTCATGAAGACAGAAGTCCCACATGAAGAAGAGTTTCACTAAGTGAAATATGCTCAGAATCATGGACCACAATGAGTGAATTACATGTAAAAGGGATTTGAAATGACAATAAAAAGGTGATCAGGGTCCAGGACTTTGTATGCCTTCCTGTTTATATTGAGGTGTTCAGTTTTTCTAAAATGTACTTTGAAGATATTGAAGGATTAAAATTGGAACAGTAACATACTATGATATTTTCATATACAGATTGCTAAATTGAAAATGGTTGAGATTGTAGAAGTTAAGATGGTTAAAAGGG